AAACAAAAAACTCCACACCCAAAGAGAAAGGCGAAGATTGAGGTCAGTGGGATCCCACTGCAAGGGTCTGTGCTTCTGCTACAGTTCTGATCAGGAAGCCTGGGTTTGTGTTAATGCTGCTGTCAGGAGGGATGGAGAATGTACGTAGGGGCACAACGTGCTTTGGGTCGGTAGGAGGGAGCTCTCTGTCCCTTAGCTCATTTTATTGAATCTGTCAGCTCTTGTATCTCTCGTTGAAAGCTTATAGAGTTTTAAGGAAAATAAACGTTTGGTCAAAGAGACTGTGGTTCTGTATTCACGAACAATGCCAAGAGTTCACACTTCATTTTAAACATCCGAGAAAAATACTTTTCCTCCTGGCGTTTCTAGGACCATTTAAAATCAAAACCAATAGAAATGCATTTATATTTCTGTCTGAAGGTGTTAGGGAACATTTTCTTATTCTGAAAGCTGATGGGAATAGTGAGAGAAGGGGCTCTTTCATGCTTGCTTTTTAATTTAGGCAAGTTGTCTTCACCAGGGTCACCATGCAACGTGGTCATCTTTGAGGCAATAAGGTTTGGGACAGGAGGGTTTGCAAAGATTGGGCCAGGTCACAAAAAGTGCTTGAAAGCATAGGGAGCTTCAAAGCATTCTCAAAGACGTACATCTCAAAGATCTTCTCAAATATCTTACAGACGTTTCCTAAAGTATTCTGATTTTTCTTGATAAACATTTTTCACTAGGTTTTCTATTTCAGGAGAAGCATGTATCCGTGGTTGTAACTGCAAGCTGAAAGAACAGAAGACTTTAGCGAGCTGCTCTGTTCCAGCTGTGCAATTGCTTACGCTTGCAGTGGAAATAATTGTGCAATGTAAAGAGTGGGCTCCGGCTCCGTGAGAGCTAAAGATCTTGTCACTGTCAAGACAACTTTTTACCGCTGACAGCAAGCAATAATAGATGACCAAATGTACTTTCTCTAAATACTCCACTGAATTATTTTTTTTAAAAAGGCATTTTTTGGTCTGCTTGTTAATTTTAAAGGAATTCTTTTTTAGGATCGTTTTCAGCCTTGACTTGGAGCTCACACTACCCTGAGTTAGCTTGAGCGATGCTCCATGTCAGATAACTTCTGTGCTTTTGTGCCTCAGGGAAAGGGAAGGGTGACTTCAAGCTTCTTGTTCTGCACGTGTGTGTGTTAAGAGCATGAATTAATCCATTTTGTTAGAAGTTTATTATTTTTCAGTTTAACCCACATTCTGTTACCTGGTTTGGACCAGTAAGGCAGAAACTTAGAGAAGCCCAGTGCAATTAGTAAGAGAAGTTCATTTTCAGGGTAGACTGTTTTTATTGCTTTGGTACAATTCCTTTATGTTAAGGTCAAGGGCAGGTAAGAATTACAAAGTTAGCATTGGTTTGGAAGTTGAGTTGGCAGCCAAAGAAAAGTCATATGCTTACATCTGCCCCATTTGCGAAAGACTCTGCTACCCATATTATATAAAACTGTTGATCCCTTGATGTCTTTAATTTTTGCAGCCTCACATATAGTTTCATATAAAACTTGTGACACTTACAAACAGAGTGAAACTATTAGCTGAGGCTGATTGAAATTATAGCGCTGAAGTTAAATCCTGTTTTTATCTGGGTAAGCATGGTCATACTGATTAGAGAGTCTGTTCAATCCGCTTGAATCCACTCTATGTGCTCTGTCCTTTATTATGTTTGTTTGTAGCTGTCTGTCTTTCTATCAACATGTATTTCGAGATAATTTTCTCCCCTGGGACCTTTGTCTCCTATGTTAAAGGAAATGGGGATATCTGTTTTTATAAGGCACAGTGAATACTGTGGAGGAAAAAGGTTTTGTGAATGCAAGCAGAATCCAAGAACTGTAACCAAACTTGCCACTCTATTTACCCAAGTTGGGCCTTTTCTGAACAAAATATTTATCAATACTGCTGTTTGTGAGAAGTAGAACGGGTGACATCACTCATAGTTCTTCAGCATAACAAACTTTTATCATATTTTTAAGCTAAGACAGAAATATAATAAATTTATCATAATCTCCAGTAATGCCTAGAGAAAATGTAATTTATTGCTGTTTTTAATGTCAGTTCAGTTGGATTTTCCCATCTGGATATGCCTGAGATTCATGATAAATTGTGTTATCTTGCGACTACAGTGTGATTAGTTAAGTGATATCTTTAGTAAGCTGCAAGTCATCATTGTGTCACATTTGACAGAGGTGTTCAGACATACGAAGTGGGATCAAATGTTCCAGGCTGAGCCTGAGATGAGGTTGATCCTCTCTTTGACTCAGCAGATTAAACACAAGGTACTATGCCACTGAGACTACAGAAACAGCTTTATTTCCAAATCCCTTTTTTTTTAAAAAAAAAAAGGAGGAGTAAAGATCGCAGTTCTCTCCTTCTGCTCTCATCCATTTGTATCTTAATTTCAGAAGTTTTACAGTAATTAAAATAGAAACTGAAAAATAATCATTTTGTTCAGAGTGCTGTATATAAACTCTGCAGATACTAAGAGCAGCTTGTTGTTCCTTCATTTGAAGTTCAGTCAGATGGTTTAATTTAAGACTGGGATCTTTTCCCTGTTCTTGCTTTTATTTTCATTTGTTCAGTGACTGACTATATAGCCAGTTATGCCACAATAACAAGCTAGGCAGTATTTAATGAAATCTAAGACAGCTATTAGTGTTAGCATGTATTACATGGAAAACATTAAGAAGTCTTTTTCAGCATTAGATTGTTCTTTTAGTTTTCAAAGCCAAGACAGATTTTTTTGTGTGTGTGTTTTAAGTGATTTTAAACACATATTAAGTAGACTGTGCATGATGGAGAAATGGGTAAAGAGAAGCCTAAAGAAAGCGATGGTTCTTAGTTTTGAAGAATGGCCTTTTCCTGGCTTGCAGGCATCCTAACGTCTTTTCTAGCTATAGGGAAAAATACAAAGGTGGCAACTGGTAGAGAATAAACGTATCAGTGCGAAATTCGATTTAAAGCCACTCATCTGGTTTGCAAAACCCAAATAGTTTGGCATAATGCTGGTGGAAATGAATCTGCCTTGCTTGGCTACGCACCTTCCGTTATTGAATGTGGGACCCCGTAGTCCTTGCGGTCTGCACAATCAGGACAGGACAAAGAAGGAAAACCTGTACTAATTGCGATTTTTATAATGTTTGATGTCTTATCTCTCCAATTTATCAATCACATTTTTTCAAACTGTACAACTGGAAACGAAGCACAGTGTATGTGGCTGTCACTGCTATAGTCTTGAGTTGGGACTGGAGCACACTTAAGCCTTACCTCTGTGAAAAATAGCACAGCTTCTTCATTACATCCTATAAAAACGCTTCCCATTTCTTTGTGAATGAAAGCTTAATTACAAATAGTTTATCCAGCAGAAAGACACCATAGGAAAAGCACATAACCATTTGCTTGAAGCCAATAGCAAAGTGTAATTTGACAGCAAAAAGTATTTTATGCAAGTGTTGCTGGTTGGTTTTTGGTTGGTTGTGGGTTTTGGTTTGGTTTGTGGTTTTTTTTGTTTTGTTTTTTTTGTAGGCAGGATGGTAAAGTTGGTTATCACTAGGAATCTAATAGGTCTGGTATAAGAGAACATAGAGTTACTTGGTCTTCTCCAGAATGTCTGCTATAAAAAGGAGTTCCTTTGAAGTGCACTGGAAGGTGTGCAGTTGAGAACGTACAGTAAAAGTGGGAAGCCGGTACTGTTATAAGTTTTAGGCTTCTTTGTTGTAAAGCAGTTTATATACGAGAATGATGGGCTTGTTCAGTCGCTCACAGTTGTTCTGAAGTTTGTAGTTCAGCAATAAATGAGGAAAAAATACATTTAAAACCTGCAGGTGATCAATAGGAACGACTGTGATGTGGTTCTGACAGTATGTATCGTGTAGTTCCAAAACAAATACTGTAGGACGAGAGAATTTTGCTTACTCCTGTAAAAACAAAATGTAGCATCCTTTTGCAGTTTGATGCTGACGGTATCTCAGAACACCCAAGATCCCTATAAAATCCTGACAACACCCCTAAAGGTCATTTATGGAGGTCATCTCTTTTTGCCTCCCACACTCCCTAGAGAAATTCTGGTCTACCCACTCCTTCATGGCCACCCACCTGCAGATCAGCTGAGAAATCATACTTTGTTAAGAAAAACCTTTGTTAAGAATGTTATTTTTGTTTTTTGTTTCTTTCCTTCGTTTGAAAGATGTCTTTTGTTCGCTGCGGTTCGAATACCATAGTTTAAAAAGACATCATTTACAGCATATAGAAATTAAAACTAAATATGTGTATTTTAGCTGAATTTGAAGAATGAGATTGGGGACTTGACATTGTTTACATACATGTGCATTATTCTGATTTGTGTTTCAAGAAGTAAATTAAAATTACTCTAATCACAAGGATATTTTTAGGCAAGCGCTTTTAGATGGATCAACTGTTCTTTGGTTTTTGAGGTCTATAGGGGACTTATAGTCTTCACCAGTCAAATGCAGATGTGTTTAGAGTAAGTGTTAGTTAGCAGTAATTCTTAAAACTACACCTTCGTATACGATAGGAATATAAACATTACGGTAATAAATTGTCAAAAGTTGAGTGCCTTTGGCTGTGAGAAGGAGTATCTTGGATCTGTGTCTGTGGATGTAACAGTACAAGCATCACTCCGTGGTATTGTTGTGTGCTGTTGGCATTATCACACTCCTAGTGTAACCTGCTCAGTCTATCCCACTTAGTCTTCACAATAATCATTAACAGAATTATGAATCTCATAAGGCAAAATGCAGCAAGCATCTAGAATGGGAATCTTTTCGTATGTGTACCATGTCCTTTTGGAAACCCACATGATTTAAAGCAACTGTTACTGATAGACAAGTTTTCTTCTGTTTCTTTTTAATGGTCTTTAGTTTTGCATCTGTTTTAAGTTAGATGGTTCATAATGCATTTCTGATTGTGGCTGTTTACAAGCTGCTTTCTCCGTTGCTTTCCCTGCAGGTGTTGCAGGGTGCTCAGCTGATAGCTGTTGCTTCTGCTGAGCCTGCATCAGGGGGTGTTGATGGATCCCCGCTCCAAGGGAGTGATATCCAAGTCCAATATGTGCAGCTGACACCGGTGACAGACCACTCTGCGACTAATCAAGTATGTATATATATCTTTTTGCCATTTGAATGTACTTAACTTGATGGAAACATCTGTCAGACGAACTGCATATCAGTCCACAAACACTGCAGTCCCAATGAGTTTATGATCCTGTTTCCAAACTGTAAAAAAAAAACCAAACCAAAACTATAATAAGAAATGTCATTTTGTTAAAGGTACGAATGGTCTTTGACTATTCCTTCTTCTATGTTCTTGCTCAGTTCCTCTAGAGAATAGTTATTTTGGTCATCATTGTTTTTCTGCATCCTTGAAGGCTGAGAGCCATGTTAAAGGACAGGGCAAAAAACTTGCTTGGAATCTATCCAAAAAGTGTTTTTCAGACTGAGGTTTCTCTTAAAAATGTTACTCGCTTTCTGACAGCAGTTTTCCAGTTATTTTGATCAACAGCCTGGGTTTCCCACAGGAGTTGCAATGTTAGCAATTGTAAGTGAACACTTGATCGTCTCAGTTACAGTGGAGGAATTATATTTTTTCTTTTTAAATCAGTTTGAACAGTCATGTATCTGAGTCTAGAAAAAGTTTCTCATCAGCTTGAAGCTGTGACTGGTGACAACACAAGAATGCTGACTTAAAAAAGCTGTAAGAAATTTTTCTGAAGATGGTTACACATTCTTCTGTGAACCCTCCTTTGTGGGCTTCTTTTCTAGAGAATGCCAAGTGGTTGTGAAAAACAAGCTGTCGCTTGCTAGCCAAAATACAGTGGTATCCTTAGCAGCCAATATTAGAGTGGATTTTTGTCTGATAATACCACGTTTTTTAGAGAATTCGGATCTGGCTACAAAGATTTGGATATTGAGTCTTTTGAGGGGGGGAGAAAAAAAAAAATTGCTTAAGAAACCAAGGGAATCTCATCCAGACCTTGTGTGCATGAAACTCAAGTGCATGGTGCTTCTTCCATGGGCAAGGCAATCTGCAGATCAGTTTGATATATGAAATTAGAGCGCATCAGCTATCCCAGTGGCAAAGAGGGCCTTAGACGAAAGACGGAGCGGTGCTGCGTATTGCTGAAGTGCCGTCTGCGCTGGCTGGTGCTGATAGGGAAGCCAGAGCTCTAAACTTTCTTAGTTGCTCCGATCCACACTCGCTCCCCACCTGGATGCTACAAAATGCTTTTTGGAAAAATTATACTCCCTCGCAAAAAGGATCAGACTGCCTGGCGTGCGAGTGTGCTGTAAGATTACATTCTAGTTTTCTGTACACTGATCATCCCATGTAGTTGAGCCCTTAATAGTTGTTTTTCCCTCTTTGCTAGATTTGTCTCTGCACTAACCTTCTCAGTATTTTATTCATCCTCGCTTGTAATAGTATGCTGGACAGTAAGAGCGTTGCTACAGGTATCATGCGTTATAAACCCTCAAGCACTGCTGGTCCCGTGCAATCAGTAAAGCATATAGGCACCAGGGAGTGAGACGTGTTTCTTATGCTGCTGTCCTCGCTCCAGGCCTGGGAAATTCTCAAATTTACCTCCCACGGACTTTCTCCTGGGTCTGTTCCTCGTGCCTGTCCTCCCTCCTCAGCTACCACCTCTGACGGGCAGGAGGTTACGGGGTGCAGTTACAAACATCGGCATCCGTCGCCCACACGACCGGCAGCCACCAAAGGAGTTACTTTTCTCTTCAGAGACACTTTGCACCGTGTTAGGTTTTAAGATTGTGGTTAACCACAGAGATTTATACAAAGCTGAAAAGAAGCAGAAAAGGAATGTGAAATAAGAAAAGTATGAAAGGAAAAACAGACAAGACTAAAAATAGGTTTGCCATAAATATTTCCTCAGTTTACACAAACGAAAAATGAAGGATCTGTTAATGAATTGGAGAAACCTACTTCGTATTTGCATTACTCTGAGTTATATGGATAGTTCAATGGCTTTTTTTGGCTAAAATTATGGAATAGTCCTGCATCATCTTAGAAAGATCTCTTTGTCTGAAAGGAAAAGTCTTACCTGCAGGGAAAACCCTCTCAGTGAGGCTGCAGTGACACTTTCAGCTGTTTTCGTATGGTTCTTTGTCAAGGTACCGAGATGGTCTCAAATCAAAGCTTATAAAAGTGGAGTGTATTATCCACCTGGGTTGGACGCCATGCCCTACACAAATTCCGTGTTTGAAGCACCACAAGTGTGAATTTACTTAGTGTCTGAAAACAAAGATACTAGTTTTCTGACCTTGTTTTCTTGAAAGCCGTTTCCTTCGGAAGCAAGCGCACATGCCAAGGTGAAGGTAGGAGTGAGACTATTTGAAATGAATCCCTTCTCTGACTTCAGCTGAAACAGACAGCAATATGCACTTCAACTTTGGATTTTCAATTAATTCATGCACGATTTTGTATTTGCAAATTAGCTGTAGACAGAAGTGTTAATAGCTAGGATTCTGACAGTTTTGTTGTGACCCTAAACCATGTACGTAAACACAAACTATTAATATATGAACAGTGTTTTGCTGGCATAAAATTGCAAGTGCCTGTACGGAGGGAGGCATGGTTTGAAATCAGATGCATTTGGGGGATTTAGGTTTAGTTGGCTTGTTTTCATGTCTTGATAGCATTCTTACTTACAGCAGCTTGGGAAATTTAGAAATACAGAATGTGATGATGACAAAGAATGTTTGGATTAATTCTGTGCTCAAATTCATAGGCTAGTGGCAAATTTTGTTAGATTTGGAAAAAAAACATAATTCCAAATCTAAAGCGTGCTTCTAATGCCTTTGGGCAGTCTTCTACTTCTGGTCTGAATGTTGGATAAATATTCAGTTTTGCTGTTGTCGCTTTTATTTGATAATTATATTACTTCAATATAGTTTTCCTCTAATGGGAAAAAACCCAAACTTTTATGGTCGCTTCAAAACTTACCTGCTGTCAGATTTAGCAATCTGATAAAATTATTCTCTGCTTTGGCACTAACTTATTGCACATTTATGTAAGCACCAACTTACCTATAAAGATGAACAGGAAAAAATCTTGTAGCTATGTGCAATTACTGGCAATGAGGCAGAGAGATCAAGAGAGAGAATTTGACAACGAAACCTTAATTTAGGAGCAATGCTTTATAATTTTGAACATCCAGTATTTTCATTTGAATAAATAAGTTGTGACTGTATAGCAAAACCTAAAGGATCGAAAATCTAGTTGAGTTTCCACCCTTGTGTCTTTGTGGATCATCTTGCAGATAACTAGGCTGAGAGCGTAAAGCAGGACTTCAAGTAAGACTTTTTCATAACAGAAGTACTGCCACAGAAATAATTCTGTATCCAGGGTGTTACATAAAGCATCTATTAGATGTGTTTATGGAGGGAAAATCCATCAAGGGCATATCTCTGGCATCTGTGGGAGTGTACAGGAAAAGATCATTAAATACTTGCCCTTTTCTTGTAGTTTATCTGTGCTTGTGATACTGGCTGCTATCAGGGGAAGGCTTATTGGGTGTGATGGACTTTATCCAAGCCAATACAGCTGTTCTTAAATGCTATTCATCTTATAGCTCTAAAGATGGAGTTTGTTTCATAATCTAGTTTCCCTTACTCCAACTAACTTGGCTAAAAAGACAGTCTGCTATGGGATTATCCTTTCACAGCATTGTCAGACTTGTGGTAGGCAGTCATTTAATTTTTAAGGAGACTTCCTTTGAAAGCTTAAGTCAATTATGTTTACTTTAAATTCTTTTACGGAGGACTGTTTTTGCTTGGAAAGTGAGTAGAATCAGGCCTGTAGGAAGAATTTTTATTTGAGAAAAAAGTTCGCTATGGTAGCCCTATTCTCATTTTACACAAAATAGAGAAAGACTGCGGTGAGTAGAGTCAGCAGTTTTAGACTGTATCCAGAACCAGCTGGGGAAATTCCAAGCACAGGGCAAACAGGTAATTTTACTGTCCTTGCCTACAATAATGCTGTCACTCCGGGACCTCCTACTGTCTTTTCTGTGATCACCCTTGGTGGACTTCCCTTCCGTAACACTGCTTGGCTCTGTACTCCCGAGCTGTCCGTACGTACATCATGTTGGGAAAAGTCCTTCGGCACACGTTGTGCCAGACATGGCTTTCATTTTGTTTCTTTTTAGAGCTGGCTCTTTTTTGGGAAGAGAGAGGGAATAATTGTTTTCTATTTGCTCTCTTTGTGGCACTCATTATTTTATAGATCCTTATCGCGATGTCATTATTTCAGCCTTCTCTTTCCAGCCTGAAGGGCATTAGTCTACTTAGTGTTCTTGAGGACCCTTTATGTATTTTTTGGTGCTTTTATAAGTGTATTCCCATTCCAAGTCTGTCGTAGAGCTGATATCCATGCAGATTTTGCACCGGTATATACAAGATATGTTCACATTTCCTTGGCTACGCCAGTGGAAAACACTTCTGTATTGATCTGCTGATTTCATGTTTGCTTTTGCAGGGCACTGATACCCTTCAATCAGCAATCCAGCCAGAAATGCAGATAGAACACGGAGCAATCCAAATTCAATAAGAGAATTGCAAAAAGCTGCATCAACCGAGATGTCAGTGGACCACAGTCAGAAGTTAAGTGCTGTCGTCTTCATGCAACAACAGGAGAATGGAGATGCCTATTAGACTAAAGGTCACACCTCGAACATCTCCTGCAAATAGCAGAGTTCTGATGAGCTGGTTGTCCTCACCTGGAATAAATGAGACCCATTTACTTAAATTGGAGCTACATCACTACATCGATTGAGGATCTGGCCTTCAGAAAAAATAAATGGCCTGCCCTTAGGTACACTTAAAGAGGAAAAAAAAAATCTTTCAGAAAGAGGGAAAGAAATCTAATGAATCAAAACTGTGAGACTAAATTAATGTTTCATCCCGTTCATTTCTTCTGTGAATACGCCATTTGAATGTCTGCAGATATCTTAGGAAGTGTATTGCTGCTTTGCAATACTTGCTTTACCACATATAGAAGATCAAGAGCTCAAATATTTTTCACTGTTTAAATAGCTTTTTTTATTTGCTATGGTGTTTATAACAAAAATGGAAAATATTTAAAAAAAGAAAAATCCCATAACTGCAAGTATTAGCCTTTTGCTGGTGTTTTCTGTTCAGTGTAATGAAAACTGTATTTGCAGAAGACTAACAATTTTGTTTGTACTGTTGCTTAACTACTTTTCTAGGGGAAAATGCTTTTAAATGCTGTAATTATGCATTTCTAATGAAAAATAAATGTGTATTTATGAATAGTGCAGCTCTAAGTTGCTCTCTGCCTTAGGAATGAATACATTTTGACTGGACGGTGCTGTAAGAGTGTAGTTCTGGAGAATTTGAAGACAGATGCTATCTGGCAAGCTCTACTGTCAAACTGAGAAGTAAGATTAAGTCTATAAGGAAGATATCAATCTTAGATCATGTTATTATTAAATTTCCAGTGCAAGAAAAATGTGATAGTTAAGCTTTTGAGTCTGCAAATCCTATTTTATACAATGAATTTATGAAATCATCTTTTTAAAATGTGAACAATTCTTCTGAGCTCTCTCCCTTTTAGTTCCTCCTACCTCCTTTGTCCAGCTGTTTGTGGCAATACCTCAGTTTGGAATTCATCCATAAAAAGCTGGACTGCAAAAATCCGAGACCTATCTTGTTGTCCAACCTGCAACAGCAAGGTGAAATCCTCTCTCCACTGAAACTTGTGGGAAATTTGATACCAATTTCAAGAAATCTACATTTTCATATTTGCTAAGCTTGAGTGGAAAGGATATACATGTGCTATAACCTGATTGTCTTAATGGTGCAGATTTTGGAAAAATACAAAGTTTGCTGGGGGAGGGGTTGGCTTGTAATTTTTTTTTTCAACTGACTTGCTATATGGTTATTGTCAATATATGGCTCATAATGCATTTAATGAATTAATGAATGGGGTATAGCCACAAATTCTACATAGTTCGTTATTCAAAGTAACTTTTTTTTTTTAATGAAAGGAAGGGTTAAGCACACCCAATTTCTGGGAATGTTGTCCCTGGTAAGTATTACACTTTATGTAAATTCCTACTTCTCTTTAGGATGTTTCTTGACGCACAAGTACAATGCAAACTGAACCACAGCTTATTGAATACAGTGTTTGCAACAGGCCAAGAATTTGGCTACTCTTCAGTTTCTTTTTTTAATAGTGTTTCTCAGACTGGGTGATGTTTGAAGAGCTTGGCATCCAAATAGAAGCCTAAAAATAAAGCAAGGCCTCTACATTTTGGCATGACTGTTTAATAATAATTTATCACTTGGAAATGACAGTAAGAGAGCTGGGATGGCAAAGCTGCTGCATGCTACTGCATACCACTCTCTTGCTATATTCATATTGGCCACAGCAGCTTTCTTGTCTTCTTCAGAAAGTTTTACTCTTACCCAGCTTTCCTTCTGCATCCTGGGCATCTTCTGCTTTCGAGGGGAACACACATGCGTTTAAACTGTAGGGTGTCTGTCTTTGGTTTATGGTGCAATTAAGAATTCTGTTCTCTTTGCATTTTTCAGCTCAGGTACAAGATGAAATTGAGTTCAGGAAAGGTTTCCTTTAGCCACTAGACTGCTACATGCTCGAGTCTCTTCTGCTAAAAGCCATTGTAAAGGCATATCAAGCAGTGAAGTAGCATTCACTAGGTTTCAAGAGAATGGAATCTACTTCACCAGTGTGGAATGGAGAGTGTACAAATCAATTGAAATAGGTAAGGAGAACAGCTTAGTAAGACGTTAAGACTGTGTGTTCCTCAAGATGGGAATTTTTCTCAGTGTTATGTCAGTGTTTACATTAGTCTAAGCTATGTCACACTATGTTTATACTTTAAAGAAAAGGGACTTCAATATTGAGTCAGATATTCCTGTGAGTAATCCCTGTCCCTGTTCCCTTTCTGTAGGTTGGTTTTATGTCCTCGGAGGATTTATGTCCCTGTCCAGGGAGGAAATGTCTTCAGGAATGTTTTATGTGTTTTCTAGACATCACAGTGTGTGTCACATACAAATAAGTCATTCCCAAGAAGAGTAATTCAGGAATGAATTCCCTTCTAGGAAATGCTTGTGACTGTGAAGAGTCTGTGAGGTTCTGTGCAAGCGTGAAGAGTATGTTCATACAGAGATTATCATAACAATAACATATCAACATAACAGTAAGAAATCCTAAAAGTATGATAAGATAACTCAAGGAATGAAAATCTCACAGGGGTACTGAAGGTTTTGCCTGGCGCTCTATTCAGGTAGGTTGGTGGCATTTCACCGTGGATGTGGTTCTGCCCTTGAAGACTGTTCGACTATTTTCAGTAGGTCAACTAGAAATGAGCTCTCATTGTGTCTCCTGTTATTCACAGCCTCTGCCTTTTTAATAATAAAGTTCTTTTCCCTCAGCAAAGCTTCTAAACCCCTCATTTTTAACTGTTACTTTTCTACTCATGCTGCTTTTGTCCAAAAGGCAGAGATTGAGAGCCTATGACCAAGAGTCTTCAGGGGAATGTTTCTTGTACAGTTAGGCTAGGATCAGCTGCATATTTTATCTGTAATTGATCTTGTGACCTGCAGAATACTGGTTTCATGGATGTGATTTTGTTTTGTGGAATAATGTTTAGGCACGCAGGCTTTTGGGGAGGAGAGCCTCTGGTTACCCTACTTTTCAATATTAAGTTCACTCTAGCCAAGACCTCACCGTTTATCTCGATGTTGTACTAAAATTCTTGACATGTAGTTATGGCTGCACGGGCAGTACAGTACCATTATAATAGCCTTTCCAATCATTTAATCTTGAATCCCACCTGAAAGAACATCCATCTCATGAATTCTTAAGGGCTTCTGTCATCCTGATGTAAAAACTAATCAAAATGTTATGGTTTGATGGATTGTACATCTAGAAGTTGGTCTTTAAAAAAGTGAAGGGTGTGGGTTATTTCTTTTCTGTTTTTTCTTTCTTTCATTCCGTGTTGGTTTTACATATTTTGTCTTGCAAAACAAAACTATAAAAATGAGCACCCTTCTGTGACCCAAATAAACTGGAATGCCTTCATTAGCTGCATTTTTAGGCATTTCAGTATTGACAGTTTGCCTATAAAGCAAGGAATGCTGGCCAAAATGTTGCTCTAGTACTTGTCTCCATCATGGACATCTTGGCATGTGTACGAGTATGCTCTGGTGGCCCTGTACTTTATTACCCTCTTTGCAGAACTGCTATGGAGTTTCGTGTTAGAAAATACAATGAGAAAACCAATATCTAAAAAAAACCCCAAATCACTGTAGAACCTGACTCTGCACAAACTTCTGTTGGCAATCAGTACGCCTTCTGAATTCCTAATTACCTAAGTACTGAAAATTTAGAGCCATAACTATAATTCAAGAAAAACTGTTTCCCATTATCAGAACTAAGAATGTTCCTTTCATTCACTGCAATCCCAAAGCACAGCTATAAGCTCTGCTGATTTAGATGAGTACTCAACAGTCAAACCTCATTTCCTTGAATGAAGCCGGGAATAAGAAAGTCATTCAGTTAGAGTGGTGTTTGGGGTAAACTGAGATTGCTTTTTTAATGCGCTGGTAAAAACGGACATACTTGATTTTTCTGCTAAACAAGGTTTGACATATTTAGAGGTTGTTTTATACCCCACAAAAACGGGAGTAACTAACCGTGCAGCAAGAGGGGTCGTGCAGAGCTGGTTAGAGCTGAATTCCGTGGGACACCGTTGCCTACGTGCAGTTTGGCCAGGGCACGGGGTTAACGCTCCTCCCCTTTCAAAAGGTGCCGGGGGATTTTTGATCAAGTCTTGTTCTTCAGCATGATGAATTGGATGGAACTGGATGAAAACCTATTTTTCCTCATCTACAACTTTACATGCAAAATTTAGTTCAAGAGCAAATGTCTCCTTTGACTTTTTTGCCTTTTTTTAAACTTCTATGAATTCTACTTTTGAAAGCTTTCTCATGTTTGTTTCCTATTCAATTTTTCTAAATTTACGTCTTGCAAAGGAAAAACGTCCTTCAATGATATTTAATAAAATCTTATATTTTGGGCAGAAAATCGTATTTTAAGGTTTTTTTTATTCATCAGTATGGATATTTTTAGTTAACCAGTAGGCTGGGAAAAGTTCTGTACTTCTTCAGTCCCTCAGTTTAATCTGGTTTTGAATGTTTAAGTAAACTGTCCAGTTTCATCTCTGTCCATCAGCTTGGGCTGAGCATGAGGTTAAATGTTACATAATCTCTGGTAAATATTTTGTTTCAGATTTTTCGTACTAGTTAAAGGAAGGTTAATCTGGTTGTGAAACAGATCGACAAAAGCCTGGATGGAAAGCTGAGTTTAGCCTGACATCTCTCCGTGCTATACTGAGATGCCAGCTGTAAGGACGGACTGTTCATTGTCCCTCACCATGCCACGATCCGGACATTTATGGTATTTAATTTGAAAATAATAAATATCCCTGTTTTCCACGCTGATTCCTTGCTTTTTTAAAGGAATCTTTGGGATTTCTGTTTTGAAGATGCACTGGGATTTGCTTGCCAAGCTGTTGAGTGCATCATATCAGGATCTGAGAATTGAACCAAGTACACTGAAATCAAAGGGACTTTACTCTTTTGTTATTACCACAGGGAAAACACATCTCCTGTATGTATATTTGAACTATATATTGAATTTACCATTGACTTTCTGGGTAAAGCAGAAAAAAAATTGGGAGCTGGCCAGCACCGTTTGAGTAACTGAAAGGTGCACTTCAGCTTGATTGATATGTGTGTGTGTATATACATATATATATTTATATATGGCTATCTTGTTGCTTGAGTTTGCATGGGGTTGGCTCAGCTCCTACTGCTTTGGTCCTAGAAGTCACCTCTCCCCTCTTGTCACTTCCTTTTGTACATTTTTTTTACTCTCACATTTCTATAGCATTTATTTTTACTGTTATGAAAAACGTGGATCCATTTTTCTGCTTTGATCTTACCAGAGGAGCTTGGCTGACCACCTCTAATTAAAAAGAAATAAATCAGAAACCGTTAGTCTGCTGGATTCTGAATTGCATTTAACAGAGAAAAAAAACAGTTACAGA